AACACGTTGCCTACTCAGGTGATCTGATCTCGATCGTAACTGAGGGACTGAGTGTTGATGACTTAAAGAAAAAGGGAGTTAGCATCGGTGTTCTTCTTCGCTGCGGTTGTTACTCTGATATACGTGTGAGTGAAATCGTGGAAGGGAAGTTTAGTGGCGAGTGGAACCCTGACATGATAATGGTAGATTAAGCATGTTTCAAGTCGACGTGAGGATACGTCTAATGCTCGGAGTCAACGCCGCCTCGTTTGCACTGTTCTTCACGAGCAGCCGTAGCGTCCCAAGTGTCAAGAACTTCGGAGGAGCATGTACTATCACGGCCACTGGATCGAGTGGCCGTGGTACTATACTCTATTTTTAATACACAGCACTGTCAAAGCTTCTGACGCGAGCGCGTGGCTTCATATACGGTTTCGTTTGGGGCGAAAACGCGTGCAAATGATCAACGAGATCAAGCCCCATTCACTGGAGGCCATAGCTGTGAGCGCGGCTGCTGAGCGCGTGCTGGCGGCGACCTTCCGCAGTTCTTTTGCAACGTGCATTCTGCACCATAAAGATTTCCGGGCTTAGCATCCCATTATTGTGAGCTCGTTCTGAGCATGCGCTCTAAACATCGCCCTTAAATATGCCGTCCAGTGAATACCTCCTATTGGCGACGTGATCGATCGAAAGCGTCGCTGTGGTCGGCCCACCACAATTGGCCGAACGCTGACTATGACGTCAGCAAAGGATGTCTCATCAACGGAAATAAGAGGAATGTAAGAACTTCGATTTTGAACGGTGTTGGCAGTGTTGCTTTGAGACCGCTACGATTTCAGGCTTCCAGAATGCTCATTAGAAACACCATCGAGCTTGTTCTTCACAAGGTTCACGTCACGAAAGGTAGCCGAACGAGGGCGCCACCGAAACATCTCGCCGCTATTTGGCCGGTTTTGTTTGCAGTGTTCGGATTTGCTTGTTTTCCGAAGCGACGAACATGCTCGTGCTTGGCTGTGGAGATCGCACGCTGGGCTGAGCACTTCCAAATATTGGAATGGTGCATAGAAATTTGCACTGTTTACAAAGATCACAGTCTACACGTGCTAAATCACAGCAGAAACACAGCAATGAACGCGCCCTCAAATGCTTTTATGAAAAGGTGTATGTTAAGTACCAAACGTAGTATAGTTAGCATAACGGGGTAAATCAGGGATTAATTTTTGTAAAGTGTTCTTTGAGTCATATCAGCCCCCCTTCCCCCGCCCAAAGTTCCGACTTTTGAAATAAGCAAGCCATGAACGTCACGGCTTAATTATTTGCATATATTTATACTACAAGAAATTGCTATATAAGAAACCTCAGGTCGTTAGGCGGGTGACATTAGGGACTTTTAGCAAACCGTTACCGTGTTTCGCCTACCGCACTACCGGAGCCTTTGAAGCATGTTTTTAAGCGCGCGCCCGAGTGATCCCGTGACCGCGGGGCAGCATCAATAATAATTGGGTTGTGTGTATGTTTATACAGCCTAGAACTTGGTCTGCCTCACAGGGGCGACGAGTCTCCCAGCTGTAGATGAGAAATTTAGCCAGTGCGGTACAACCGCTAGCCTGGGGTCTTTAACGTGCATCACGCAGTAGTGACGCATCCTTCAAAGGCTCCGGTGCGGTACGCGGCACGTGGAAAGGTGACGTACAAGGCTAAGGCCCCGAAAAACTTCCTTTGCTTTCCCTTCTCCAATACTCTCACTCACTCGGAACACGGTAACGGTGTGCTAAAAGTCCCCACTAATACCTACTCCAAACAGTTCGAAGCAGCCGAAACATGATACGTGCTGTCGACGCGACGCGATGCTCAGGGACGTGACCTCGCCCCTTCGACGAGTGAGAGAAGTACTAAATAAGTATGCCCACTTAGAATGACGGCTGACAAAAGCCCCGAGATGGAGCGATGTATAACTCCATTTCAAGCGTTCTGGGCAGCCTGTATGCGCCTACAAATGCGTACACATTTTACGTGTGTACATACACAGATAGTACGTTGATCTAACTTCCGCGTATAGACGAGCGTACCTACGTCGAAAGAAAAGAAAAAAAAAAAGATACCTTGTAATGTGGTTGTTGTGCAGCTAGAATGACGTCCTGTCCAGCACGTCGTATACGTCCAAGACGCTTTCCTCGGAAAGCCTTCAAATTTAATGGAGTCCTCCGCCAAGTGCCTTTCTCATTAGCAATGCAATCTCGGCGTTCGGCGGTGACACGGAGTAACGACAAACGAACTGCGCGTTAGAGGCTGTTTACAGTTATCCTATTAATTCAGCGAGTGGAAATTCAACGTCGACCTTGACCGCGCGTACATGAGATGCGGTTCTTGCGTCACGGGTGGCGCGACAAGTCAAAACGGCGCTGGCGAGAGACTCTGTGAGGCAATCGCTTACGACGAATTCCCGCCGGTCGTTTTGGAACGCTTCAATCGAGATATCTGCCGGCGTGTTACGACGCGCGTGACAGCGGGATTGAATTACCCTCGGCTATGCTTCGGGGGCACCGAGAGTTTTCTATAACATCCAGTGGACTTTCGCCCTCGCCTTATGATTGCGTCGTGGTGCAAACTACTTCTCGGAAAACAGTTAATAGATATTATGAAGCAAGGTAAGGCCGATTGAGACGGAAACTTTCCCGTACATCGTGTGGGTTGTCGAATAAATCGTGTTAGCGCGTAGAGGTAATGCGATTACACTATTGGCGATTTTCATCGCGTGTTTTTGAACCTACTTTCACGGCTTCGTGTCTTGACCGCCAAGCGGTGTGGACATCTTATTCGCTCGAGAAGGCTGGAGAGTAAACCTGCCATCACAGTCTTCAGTTACAGCCGTAGCCTCCTATATACTGACAAAGCCTGGCAGATCGTCACGAGAAGCGGCTGCCGAAACGGAAAAGGTGGAGCGACAGACAACGGATTAGAGGAGAGTCACGTGACTGGCGCCCCGCTGCGGCGAGACGCCCAAAACACACTTCTTCCGGGCAAACAAGTGTGTTTCGAATCCTCGCCACTGCAAAAGTTTTGCGCTGACGTGCAGGTTCCCCGAGAAATGGCTCTTTGATGCTCTGTGCCACCAGATCCTCGAGCTCCAAATCTGCGACCAGGCACTTTATATGGCTCCGTCGTCGAACTGCCAGGCTTTGTGAGCCGTCGATTTCGCTAGAGCCGCCGATTGTCGTCGTCGAAGCGAGAACGGAAAGGAGCCGTTTCAGTTGTCCCACCTCCAGCGCGAACTTCCCGCCTTCGACAATGCTCCGGAGATCTCTTGATTCTCGAACGTGCACGCGCAGTCAAAGCACGGCGGAAGGCGACGAGCGCATGGTAAAGGACAGGCATCCGAAAAAAAGACGCCCGGTTATTCCCGTATTATCGGTGACTCTGTAGAAATAAGTAAACCAGACAAAGCAGCTGGTTGAAGCTTACTTTGTAGTGACATGGTAGCGTTCGAGACTGCGGAGTAACGATTACAAGAAGGTCAGCGCTTCTTTATTGAATTCCTACTTTTTGGAGCAAATAGACTCTTCAAAATGGGGAGACGAAACCGGTGATTAGGTATTTTTCTGTATACCTTATAACAACGCATCTTATTATTTCGATTGTGATTTGCTAAATAAAACGTTGACTCCTGTGCCACAATAGTAATATAAATCGCCGTCCATCCTAATGAAAACCAGTTATATCCAGGGATTAGTGCTATGTTTAATTTTAGTCAAGCTTTACGCTAATTATATTCTAAAAATATTTCAAATAACAAAACGCGTTGTTTTCCTCTTGTTTCCTTGTAACTACCGATAACGCCATGTGGCGTTATAAGCAATTTGATTATTGTGCTGACAATTTGTAACGGTTATTGAGGATGTCTAAAACATTATTACCGATCCTCAAGGTAAAGCAATTCAATACTTATAAAAAAAAATATATTTTTTTTTATTTAGCCTATTTTAAAGTTTTGCAGCACATATACATATTGCTAATCATCGATACTGCACTTCACTGGCTTGCAAAGAAAATAGCAAATACTTATATGCAGTATACTGTAAAATCTCAAGGTAATGTTTTGTTTCAAGCAGTTGCTAGGATGGCGGTGGAATATCTCCGATCACTGTGTCTAACGACGAAAATGAGCGAGCTTCCATCTAACGATACGAAAATGCTGATTCTGCGGGAACTGCGGCTGAGGAAAGAGACGAAAAAGCGGCCTAAACAAGCGGCCCATGGCTTCTGTTGTTTGCTCTCGCTTGCATGCCGAAGCTCGCGCTCTTGCGTGTATGCATTTCCTCGTTGCATAATATTGCTGTCTGAATTGCTTTCTGCACCACATCTCACTTTATTTTTCGTTTTTTTTTTCCTTCGTTTTTTTGCACCTAAATTGTTCCAAACGGAAAAAAAAAAGATTGTGACTTTTGGTTTGCGCGACGCTGTGGGCCAGCAGCACGCACTATCGACAACATTTATTTGCCAAATTCGTTGACGAATTACACTATGTGTTATATATGTCAACGAAGCACGCGGCGCGAATTCGATGCGTAACAGCAACCAAACAGGTCCTTTTTTAAGAAAATTAGTTCCTGTTTTGTGTTGCTTTTTAACCAAAAACTAAAGCTTTTTTTTTTCTTTTTTTTTACAGTGGAAGAGAGTCGTTGTTTGTTCCTGTTACTTTCTCTTCCATTCTAAAACTTTTTTTGCTTTCTTCTGCTCCAGTTTTGGGTTAAAAAGCATCATAGTAAACTTCTCACCAGCTCGCCTGCGCACTGACTGTTTTTTTTTTTTTTTTTTTTAATTTTCAATAATTATGAGTTTAGTGTTTAGTTGCATGCTTGAGGCTTTGGGTGTCTACTAGTGAAAAATCTGTTATCTATATTTCTTTCTCTCTCTTTCTCTCGTCCTTCAACGCTCCGAAGACATTCCATGTTAGGAGTTTATTAGAGTTTTCTGACACCAGCCTTAACGCAAGCGCGCGTGTGGTTGTCTTCCGCTTGCAGCAAGAGCCCGGTACCCGCCAGGAGATTCTGAACGGGATCAAGTACGTGCGTCCGGGCAACAACTACGTGCCCAACTTTCCCATGTTCCAGAAGATCGAGGTGAACGGGGAAAACCAGCACCCGCTCTACACTTTCCTCAAGGTGGGTGCGAGTCGTAACCCTAATTGTATCACGCCATAGCTCTAGAAGAACCAAACTTGCTCGGGCGACTGGATGTACGGAAACAAAATTGAGGGAGAGGGAAGATGAAAGCGCGTGATGACGTCAGAGCGCCCAGCTCCGAGTAGAAGGATGGCGGGCTTTAAAAATCACCGAATATAAATTTTTAAAATATCAAGAGAAATAATATCGTACGGCATGTACGCTATCGGCCGCGACGTTGTCAGTACACGAGGGTCACGCGATAATTAACAACCTCATAACCTGAAAAGCACATTTTCGTCAAATATTTCTCAGGGTTGGCACTTTCAATCGGAGAATTGTAGCTCGCCCCAAAAATAGGCCAGAGCCGTTAGTAATTGTTGTTTATGCCTTATCTCGCGCTGTTCGATGGCAAAGTAAGTTGTGAAGGGCTCCTGATACTGAAACAAGAAGCACAAGAGCGATAAAGGCCAATTCCACTTAGAAGACTAGGCCTGGGTATGACGTCATCGTGAGTGGATCACCGACTTGGAAAAGCGTTCGTTGCTGCGAGACGGCCTGGCGGCGATGCCGACGCAAGGAGGGGGGGAGAGGGGCGATATTGGTTAGCCCTACAGGGACGTCGGTGGCCACTGGGGGAGCAGGTGGCGACTAATCGCGCGCTAACTTTACTAACTTCGTTTTCAGTTCAGGCTCAGACGCAGCCGATGAGCTAATGGGACAAGTCAAGCAGCGTCAAAAGCGCAACTCACTAAGCTTTTTTTTCTGTTTGCGGTGGGTTAAGGGTTGATAGAACATGTGCAGAAACATGAGGACACGCCATGATGATGCGCTCTTGACACTCTCTGTTTGGTATCATCAGCTCGTAGCGCAGAACACTCCCCTGCGAAGGGGGGTACTCCCACCTCACTTCCTCCCGTCGTTTGAAGCGCCATCTAGATTTCCGTTTTGAAATTGTGCGTTCCACTGAGCAGAGCCAGAGAGTACGGTGAAACGCCATCTAGACGCACTGCTCTGAAACATACGTGTTGAAATACACTGCAGTTACCATAGCAGCCGTCTCCCAAAAACAGTAGCGCGTCGAACGGCGGGAGGCGTGAGGAGGGGTGAGAGGAGGGTACTGCTCGTGCAATTGTGGCGTCAATGGGCAGTCCCGTAACTGGGCTAATCTACTATACTTCGTTTCAGCTTCGGTCTGAGCGCGACCGGTGTTTTGAACCGAAGGGCTAATCAAACAGCGCAAAAAGCGGCGCGTCATGACGTGCTCTCTGCGCTTGACAGGACTAGCCGGCGGAGGAGCACGCACAGTGAGACAGCGAATACCGGCTGGTCCTATCAACTGCAGAGAGTACGCCATGACGTTGTGCCTCTTTCGCTGTTTGATTGGCCCTTCGGCTCATAACATCGGCCGCGCTCGGACCGAAGCTGAAATGGAGTATAACATTGCCGCCAGCCGATCTGGAAGCGGGGCGATATCTCTGGGTCACGTGACCACAGCAAAATGCGCGTCACGCTCTGACGTCTTCCCTCTGTGATGTCGTATGACCTTGGCGGTTAAGAAATAAATAAAATATCCAAGCTGTTTTTTTTTTGTTTTTTTTTTTTTTGCTTTACAGTTATGTCAGACAAATCCGTGGAATTCGGTCTGTGCAAGCGAGTATACGGCTGGGGGGACGTAGTATAAGGTGTAAGTCGAATAATAATATAAGTATGTAAAATTATTTATCTTTGTTGAAATAAACATATGATTTCATATAGAAACTTGCTGAGCGGCATCGAAAACCACTAAATCTGTCATTTTAGAAATATTTTGAGCGCGTAGAAGGCGCGGCAGTGCGCTAAAGTTACCACTCGCACAACAGGACAAGACTGGCGCTGAGAAACACCGGGTGATAAGAGACGGGAATACCGCGTGTGCTCGTTATTGCACCGGTAGCCTTGCACCTGCTGCCGCACGAGTGGTAAATTTAGTGCTCCGCCGTGAATCTCACGTTCTCCAAGTGTTTCTAAAATTCTGATTCAGTGGTTTTCGATGACGCCCAGCAAGTTTTTACTGGGAACCATATGTTTATTTTTAGCAATTAGACAGTTAGCTAACTTGTTGTAGTTAGCCGAGTTATTGGGACGATTAGCCGCCAATATTATGTCCCCTTGGCCATATGACTCACCTCCACAGACCGTATTAGTGTAGCTTTCACGGCTGTTTTCCTTAAATAAATCTGTTAAGCCCCCCAAAAAATGATGGTGGTCTCTAGAAAGCCTTAATTCGTCACTGAATAGAACGGGGCAAAATTTTCATTTTAAGGTAAACAAAAGCCTGCATCAAAACGCCATAAAAATAAATCCAAACTTTGAGGGAGAAAAAAAGAAGTGCAGGCAGTAGTAGCAACGGGTCTTTTAGGGGTCTCGGGTGCCAACGAGAGTTGACGGGCTAATTTGTTACCTGGTGAAAAAAAAAAAAAAAGGGGGGGGGGGGGTAATTAGAGATAGAGATGCACACACGTAGTGCCACTAAAGCTTTTCATAATTGAACTTATAACCTAACTGAGGACATCGCTGTAACAAGGAAAACACGGTACACCAGGAAGCAATCTCGTGTGGTTTCGCATACTGACTGTCACAATGCAAAACCCGGTCACTCCCGTTCTCACAGCAGGGTCTCTCTTCGTCTCTTGTTGCAGGGTCGCTGCACCTCGCCGAATCCGGTTTTCAGCGCCAAGGATAAACTCTTCTACTCACCCCAGAACAACAACGACATCCGTTGGAACTTCGAGAAGTTTCTGGTTGACAGGCGAGGAGTGCCGGTGAAACGCTACGAGCCCCGCTACTCGCCCGACGAGGTCGCTCGCGACATCGAGGTCCTCACAAGATCGAGCTAGAAAGCCTCTGCGTCGAGCAGGACGAAGGTGAACAGAAACACCCCGTGTACGCATGCAACAGTACCTCAGTCAGTCATCTCTTGTTGTTCTTCTTTGTTTTCACATTGTTACCAAGTCATTCCATCCTTCAATGTTGTATTATTTGCTGTTTAAGAACTCGTGTTTCTTTATCGAAACGCCACTGAAAAGCTGACGTTGAGTTCGTCCGTTCATCACTTGCTGGGGAGCGGTCAGGGTAGCCCGTATGACGAATAGTTCTCAAATCACAAGAAGGAACAGTTCTGAAGATGGCTGTCGGCAAGCCCCCTTGTGCATTCGGGGTCTTGATGCTCCGACGGTTCTGGCTACCACGTGACTACTCTTCCATCGGCGCTGTCGGGCGAACGGCAATGAAGCAGTCTCGGTGTGTTTATCGAATAAAGTTCGTGAGAGCTCTGTGACTTGGGTTGTTTGTGAACTTTTAATGTGGTCTGACGAGTCATACGGAAACCGGAAAGTCACTATTTCTTAGTTATGGAAAAGTAATTAATCAATCGATGACAGTGAAATCAAGGTAAGAAACAAAAGGCAACGCCGAAGAGCACCCACCAGCTTCAAAATGAACCACAGCACCTACGCCAATGTAGGCTTAGCCTGCGTGTTACATTATGGAGCATTTCCTTAGACAGGTCACGAAGTAAATGACCTCGCGAATTTATCACGGTACAGAATTGGGAATAGCTGCGCAGACACAGTCCGTGCATCTGATATTTTTATACAAAAAAAAAAAAAGAAAGAAACAGAGTAAAAAAAAACTTACGAAAGCAGAAAAAGACTTGCACAAAAAGGAGAGAATACATTTTCTTGATCATGTACTTTGACTACTCTTGGGCGAGTATGTCCATTGGGCGCTCCAGGCTAAATGACTAAATAAATAGATACATAATAAATAGAGTCTTCTGAGAGATGAACTCCCCCAGCGTGTGTTATCCACGAGAGCGGCGAGAAATCTTCCGAATAACGAGCGGCGTCGGAGCCTACCCGACGTTCGTCACGGTTCAAGTGGTATCGATGTGGGCATGCCAGCGTTCTTGGACCAGAGAGGATATACTGCAGTGGTACCGACAGCTCCGAGAGTGCGGTCCCCTTAGCTGAATAGACGAAGACAGCTGCCAACGAGTCATGCCACGTCGACGAGTCAGTCGGTTCGGCAAAAGCCAGTAACTTGCGTGTGGTGGTTTCCGCAAGCATTTCGTTTCAAAGGGCAAAACCTGCGTTTCGCCCTTTGAGGCTCCTGAGCTTAAATGCTCGAAGTGCCGCCAATAAAGCGGTAGAGCTTGAAGGTGTCCTATTATTGCTAAGGTTGAAGCCTGGGCGAGTTGGTGTGACATACTTAAAATGTTGCGCTGTTTTAACCTTTTTAACCTTCTTTTGCGCTGTTTTAACCTTTTAAGTGTCCTATTGGCACTCAACCCTAATGTGGCACTTATAACAGAAACTTGACTGCACAGTCGAATATCTGATAATAATGTTTTCCCTCGTGGTTTCAAAGTATTTCAACGGGATCGTGGTTCAAGAGGGGGAGGGGTCGCTCTTTTGATCAAGGACACCATTCCATGCGCGTCTATTGAGCACGGCCAGGACTGTGAAATGGTCTGGGCCTCTATATGTTTTGGTTGCCAATCAATGCTTGTAGGAGCAGTATACAGGTGTCCTCAGACCAGAATTGACGTCCTACAGAGTTTTGTCGAGTTTCTTCAAACTAAAACCAAGCAATTTTCACTTATAGTAATGGCCGGTGATTTTAATTTACCAGATATACAGGGTGTCACAAAAGAAAATTTACACGGTATTTTTTACCGCAAAAATAAACTAGGCAACGCCGAATGATCATTCTCCGCCCAAAGGTAGACCTAGAGGTCACAACCAGATGCCAAAGTTTCAGCCCGATCCGATAACTTAATCAAAAGTTATAAGTCATTATCTGAAAATTTCAATGGGAAAAAGGAGCCCATTTTTGCCCGTTTTCGGTTTCTGGTGCCATAGAGCCCCATGTGTTTGAAAACTCCGTCGGCCGCCATTTTCCCATTGAAATTTTCAGAAAATAACTTATAACTTTTGATTAAGTCATCAGATCGGGCTGAAACTTTGGCATCTGGTTGTGACCTCTAGCTCTACCTTTGGGCGGAGAATGAGCGTTCGGCGATGCCTAGTTTATTTTTCCGGTAAAAAAGACCGTGTAAATTTTCTTTTGTGACACCCTGTAGATTGAAATTGCGTGATGCCCAATGGGATATGAGGTCAGTCTAGGCTTCTTGTTGATATTGCTTTTAGTAATAATTTAAGCCAAGTGGTCTAGTGTCTTACACGTGTGTCAAATGGTAGGTAAGCCTTGATTGATCTCACCTTTTATCTGAGGTCGTTACCAGAAGTATCCTCGACGTTTCAATCGCGGATGGCATATCTGACCATGCAATAGTTGTATGTGACCTATCTGCACCGCAGCATGCGCACAATGAAATCGAAGCAAAATCTTATCGTGATTTCAACAGGGCGAATGATATCGATATTATTGACTTCTTGGAAGTAGCCCTAGACAGATTTCTGTGTTTTATGATACGGACCCGAACTCAGTAGATAAGCATTGGCTTTTTTTCTTTTTTTTTTTTTTTTTGATTTAAGCAAGTTGTAATTACATGTTTTGATACGTTTATTCCAGAGCGACCGGCAAAAAGGAAGGGGCGCCATCCATGGGTGACGCGCGATATTTTACACTTTAAACGAAAGATAAATCGAGTAGAAAGGTTCCAACCAAGTTTAAAATGTATGCTTCCTCCTCTTCGCCAAGAGCTACGGACCCTTGTGCGCACATCTAAATATCGTTACTTTACGGACCCTTGTGCGCACATCTAAATATCGTTACTTTAATGTCACGATGCACAACTTTCCCAAAGAAAATCCAAGAAAGTTTTGGGCTCATTTTACAAAAAAAGACTTATGATTAAATAGCTTATTCATAGCGGGCGATCGTTTTCAGATGAAGCGAGCATCGCGAACGAACTTGGTTATTTTTTTCTCTTCTGTCTTCACTGTTGATAACTCTAGGTTACCTTCATTTAATCATGACAGTTGTGGACTCAGTAACTTAGCGGTTTCTACAGAATGTATTTTTAACAGTATTTTGCAATCAGACACTACAAAGTCGAGTGGCCCATATGGAATTCCGAACGCTTTCTTACCAAGGTACGCTGAACGGTGTTCCAAGTTTCTATACGTGATTTACTCTTTCAGTTTAAAAACTTGTGACGTGCCTCAAAATCAGAAAGTAGTCAAAGTTGTATCTATACATACAAATGGAGAGAAAAAGACGGTGTTTGCAATTACAGACCAGTCTTATTGTTGAGTACATGTAGCATGGTTCTCGGACACTTCATATTTAAGCACATCGTAACTTTCCTAGAATTTGAAACTTTGTTAGTAGATTATCAACATGGGTTCCGACGAGGCTCTTGGACAGCCTGACCCAGCTTCTTCATACGGTTCGCACTTTTGGTGCAGTGATTGATAGCAATGGTCAAGTCGACACTGTCTTCTTAGATTTTGCGAAGGCGTTTGACAGGGTTTCGCATCGCAAGCTACTGCATAAATTAAAGCAAGTGTTAGGCTATGATCGCCTACTTAGGTGAAGTGACTCGTATCTTACGAATCGTAAACAGATTGTGTGTGTAAGCAATGCCGAATCAATCGAGTTACCTATTCTTTCCGGTGTGCCCCAGGGCTCAGTACTCGGACCGTTGCTCTTTTTGGTTTTTATCAATGACCTGCGGGTTGATAAGCCCCCAATACAGACGTGTTTGCTGATGATTGTGTAATGTTTTCTAAGATATCTTGTGTATCTAACCAGAAATGTTTAGAAGAGAGTATTCAAATAATTTTATCGTGGTGTCAAAAATGCCAAATGGATCTGAATGTCAAGAAATGTGTGCAAATGCCAGTTTCACTGAAGAAGGCGCTTCTCTTTTTGTCTTATACTATTCATTCAAAAGCCTTACAAGTAGTTAATGACTGCAAGTATCTGGGTGTTACTATCACGTCCAACTTAAGCTGGGTTATTCATATTAAGCAGATTATCACAAAAGCGTCGAGTAAACTGTGGTCGCTACGTAGGAACAAGCGGCATTGTACTTCTGCGGCAAAGCTGATGGCCTATATATCGCTGATTCGTCCTTTGCTGGAATATGCTGACATCGTGTGGGGTCCACACTCACAATCGCTCATTGATCAAATTGGAAGGCCTTCAGAAAAATTAATTTATTTATAACTTCTACGACAAATATTCGCACGTGACATCACCGTACACCTCCTCCGGAGTGTCTATATTATCATGTCGAAGGAAAGTAAAGCGTTTAAAAATTTTGCATAATATAACTCATATTAAAGCTGGTTTTAATGTTTGATGATTATTTGCAGTAAATTGCTAGTCGTGATAGAAGGCAGAATCACGAGAATTCGCTCCTTGAGTTCCGTTGTAGAAAATGTGTTTTTAAATTTCTTTTTTCCTCGTTCTGTTTATGAGTGGAATAAGTTGCCTTCAAGTGTGATGACGATTGGTTCTACCGCTTTATTTGTAAGTGCAGTCGATTAACATTTTTCTCTCACCAATGACTAAGCAACTCTTTAATTGTTATTGTGTTTATTCAACTCACTGATTGTTTCGGATGTTTTCTTATCACGACTTGGTCCTCAAAATTCGGTCGGCAGTATTATTAAATAAATAAATAAATACAGCACTTAATAAGAAAGTTCAGCGGAAGAAGGGAAGAGGGACCAGGAGGTACACTGGAAAAGGGGGGAGAGGGTCACTGATCGGGGGAAAGGTGTCCAGCTGGCCTTAGACGCTTATTTCTCTTCTATAAAATATCAGTATCACGAAATTAAAAATGGAACACAAAGAACTACTGTGCTCTGTCGCAAGGTCATCAGTTAGTATACTGACGTCAACACATGGAGCGTCAAAGAGTGTTGCAAAAAAATACTCCGGGTCCGATGGATGGGCCAGACACACGTACGTGCCTGTACTAAGAACACATTCACGGCCTTGGATCCAATTTCTCGCGTTCATTGCCTTCCGCTTATTCAACATGGAGCAGCACTTTCTTGGCAAGCCCAGCGGAAGCAGCAGCAGCATCGATCGAGTGCCGATCGGCGAGGTACAACTTTGTGAAATGAAGAGCGGGCGAGGTGCGAATTTGTGACATTTCTTGGAGACGGCCAGTGCGCGTTGCCAAGAGCAACTCTTGGCAACGTGCGCAGGCCGTGTCCGTGAAATTTTTGAGGGACAACGAAAAGGCCTGGAAGAGACAAGAGAAACGTGTAATTCTATACACGCTGAAAAGTTGCAGCACAAATAGTCGAACCTGGCGCAATGATATCGGGGAGCCCTATCCCTGCAATCTTTCTC